TATTAACTCTGAGTTTGACATAATTTATTATACTAAATTATTAGTATAATTAAACTAAAACATTGGCGTGTCTTTCTTTCTGGAAGAAGTGGTCCACCTAGTAAGGAGTCCACTAGTGTGACCAAAAAGACCAATACTCATTTTCATCCAGATTAAAAAAATTAGAGTCATATGTCATCTATTGTGTCTTTAGTCACATAGTATTATATATTGTCTTATTTCTGGAAATAGCACAGACATAGTACAATGCTTATTCAAATAAATTCTTTATAAAATAAAAATGTTGTGGAAAATATTTGGGACTTGTTGACCATTATTCTGAGCAGTCTGTCACAAGAACTTTAGCAGCTCGTAGTTCTTGTGTATTGTATTGCTACACTTTTAGAAATTTTAGGGCTTTTTTTAGCAGCTTTATCTGTAATTTTCAAAATTATGTCACTTAATGGTTATTAAAAACCTATAAAGTAACAACCTATTTTGCATTTCACAGAATTATTTTCTCAAATACTAAACTCACCCTTATTTTTTTAAATTACATTTTAAGAGACTGGTTATCTATCACCACTCTCTTAAAGAACCAGAAGCAATAAGAAAATAAAATCAGTATATCCATTACTTTCATATTAAAAATAATCTCTCTGAGAGAAGTAACAATTTAAACACCAATGGAAATTATATTTTCAACAATTATAATTTTGGTAAAAGCCATTAACAGTGTAACAGCAAGCCAGTAGACACCTTTTCCTGGTATATTGTGCATAAAAAGTATTCCCATCTGTTTCAATGCTCAGGCTTTTTCATGGGCTTAAACCTGTCAAATTATTCCATTTGATTTCAGAGAATTCTCATATGGCAATCTATTTTATTTACTTTATCTTCAATAAAATGGTTGAGTGAGCATTAGCAACTATGAGACACAAGTTTCAATCAGTCCTCTGGCAAAGGCGTCAATCTACATTAGACCTACAGTGCTGTGAGCTGCAGCCAGAAAGCTGGAGAGAGACAGGGCAACAGTGAGTGAGTGAGCAAGACCTAATAAAGCAGCAGTGGAGAGAGAGAAAATTCCCCCCAGACACCACCACACACCGCTTATATAATGTGTGTGCCTAGTTCAACACACCAGTAGCTCCTTAATAAAGCTGACAGCTAAAAAGGAGATTCAGACTCCAACTTCATTTTACATGACAACTACAGTAATGGTCCTCTGTTCTCAAGCAGGCCACGTTTAGAAACCTGAATTCAGTTCAGTTAAAAATTAAGAGTTCTCACCTCTCTCCTTCATGTCACATCGGAAAAAGAATCATAAAATTATTAAGATGCACACCATTTTCTCCTCATTTCATACAGCTGAGAAAACCCATCAGGTTTCAACTAGCTTTTCCTTAAAAATTTCTGTGCTAGAAACCACAAAACAATCAGTGTATTTAAGCAATAACTCATTTTTCAAGAGAGTATCATTAACGACTAATTCCAACAAATGTGGAGCATCACTCCTAGATGCTACAAAAATACCTCCCAAAGCACAAACTTTGTAATAACTGATGCAAGTTCATTTTTGATATGGGCTGTAAAGAACAGATTATTTCAACAGTGCTCTTCCCAGCAAATCAGACCATTAAGACTGTACTTATTGTTTAGTTGAATTGAATAGCTGGCCAATTTAAATCCATAGTCTGGCGTTACGTATAATCATAGCAAAAACTTACTGCCTCATATTTCCAGGTCACAAATTCAATTCTGTCAATGTGCATTACTTTTTGACAAAAGTTGACTTCAGGTTCCCCCCAGATCACCAATTTATAGCTATTCAAAATCACCCTGGAAAGCTAATTCAAAATTCTAAAATAAACAAGGTCTCTGTTCTAATACAATTCTATTAAAGCATAATACTTTATGTTTCAGAGTCTTCCTGTTAGAAACCATATTAAAGACAAAGCCCATCAAACTCCATCTAATTACTTCTTGCAAACCAGATGCCATCCTTCTCTTTAAGCATTATTCTGCATACCCTCCTTTCATTCACTTACACAAGTATTAAAACTCCTTTGCCTTCTGAGCAGACATGTGAAAGGCTTAGACTTCCTTGTGGACAAAGTTAAAGCCAGTCCATGATGCAGCCAGTGGAAAACATCCTATCTTTCACATGTTGGTCACCAACATGGTCACCAGCAATGAGTCCTTACATAACTCTTGAGAGAATTTCAGTGCAGATGCAAGATACCCCTGTGAGAAAATCTTCTGTACTAATCTAACAGTATAATTATGTTTGCCCTCTACAAAATAAACATATGCATATAGACTGAACATTTAACAGTATATAAAATGTATGCATATACTTGTACGTGAGCTGTGATGTTTTTTGTTTCCTGCAGTACCAGAAATAAATAGGAATGAGCACAATGTCTCCTCTCCTCCAAAGTGACAACACAGAAGAGCTATATCAATTTAATAATCATTAATACCAGAATTTATTTAGCTTTTTTTTTCAAAGCCTAACTCATAAAAAATCGATGTAAATGTATCACTAACAGTCTCAAAACTATTTAAGTCATCAGTCAGAAAAGGGAACATTTTTTCTCTGCTTTCACATTTCTCTGAGCTCTGTCCCAGTTTTTCTAAAACTTGCTCCTAAAGAGTTAAGTATTCTACTGAGAGGACAAAAACCAAACAGATTATTTTTCTCTCTGTTGATTAAAAATGTATTCATAATTGCAATTTTATTTTTATGCATATCTATCACTACATTTATGACTGAATCTCGGTTTTCAATCATTTCAAACACACCATATTCTGCCATAAAAGAACCTATTAATTCTAAATACTGTACTGAAGAACTAGCATTCAGAATTTACTACTGTTTCCTCATTGACTACAAAAACATTCCTTCTCCACTTTCACATATTGCAAGAAATAGAGACCAATGCTAAAAAGGCCAAAAATATTTTGGCCACCTTTACAGAAAGCATTTTTATAGACTATATTTAACTTAAAGTTATGGAAGAAAATAATAGAGGAAGCAGAACAGCAGTTATTTTCTTTCATATGCTTTAAGTTTCAGACATACTGGAATTTAATAGAATTATACTGCCAAAATATCAGAGATGCACAAGTCAGTTATACTGCATTTTGGCCATTACTCGTCAGAACATAGTAAACTTCCAAAGAAAATATCCTTTAAAAACAAGAACACTCTTGCTGACTCAACAGATTTCAACTACTACACTTTCTATCAAACTCCAGTTTCTATCAGTTCTCCAAAATACTGACAGTATCAAAAAACTATCTAACATAACTACATACAAGTTACACCATTCAGACATATACAAATAAATACATGACAGAAATCCAGCCATATTCCCATAGCTACATAGAAAGCAAAGAATCTGACATTTCTCATTGTTTTTTCTACTGAAGAATGAAAGAAAAAACCTACTGTTTTGCAAATAAATATATTACTACATACTAACAAACAGTCATATAAAGGTTTCCACCAGTAATATCTACAGTTTCCCTGTATGGTGCTGTATATCCTCTGACTTACAACACTGCTACACCTAACCTTTCTTCTTTCCCTGGCTTCACCATATTTATATTGTAGCCTTCCAGCCAGCGCCTTAACTCCTTGGAAAAAGGTGAAGTTAAATTGGAATAAAGGAATTTTCCTTTCTTATTACCCAGTCACAGTGCAACACATACCAGAACAGTCTTCTTTTACACTACTTTGAACAAGGTTAAAAAGGGCTGTGCTTCCTTACAGAGGGTAAAACTTCAAAAAACATGTTACAAACAAAGTTTCAGAACTAATTACTGCTATCATCATTAACTCCTGTGGAACAGCTTCTTTTTCTTTCCTTCCAGAGCCATCAATACATTAAGATGGATATACCAATATTATGGAGTACATAGGTATATCAGAATAACTTGTAATATTTTAGCAGTTACTACACATGGCATATTATTTGTATTTACATATTTGTTTCTACTTCCTGGTGTACACAGGAGAATTTGGCCTGGCTGCTATTATGGTAAATTGGTTGAAATCTTTATCTTAAAGATTTAGTATCAGGCCCAATTGACCATATTTTGCAATTTATATGTTAAAATATTGCCTAAAAATTTTGAATTTGAAAAGTTCTGGGAATAGTCCCAAAAAATTTTATACCTCCATAGGAAATGTAGAATGTGAACAACTGCAACACTTAACATACAGATTTTTTTGTTGTTGTTGCAATAGCAATTATGAAAAATCCAAAATAAATGTGACTGCCTTGCTAAGCTCTCATCTTACACTAATTCCTTCAGGATCTCCCTTTCCAGTCTAAGTTAAAAAGACCTGATAGCCACGTGTACATGATTCACTGAGGATAGCTGTGAAGGTCTGGAGCAAAGCAAGGCATTCAGGGCAGGAATGTCAGTGGCACTGTACCCACTGACAGGGTGTGTCCCAGGCAGGTTCAGCCCGTTAACACACAAAGCAGCTCAAACAAGGCTTGACCTCATGGTCCTTGACATCGTGGAATTCCTGGTTACCAAAGGAATAAAGATCATCCGAGTTTCAAGAAGCTAGGAATATCCAAATTCAGGAATTCTTCACTATTTATTAGAGTGTATTTGCCTTTTAAAATTTTATTTTTCACAAGAAATACAGTCTAAAACAATTTTCAAACCAAATTAGCTTAATTATCATACTCCAAATACAGCTGATGTAATGAAACTGTACAGTGCAAGTTAACTCCAGAGTTCCAGAGACCTTGGTGACAGAACCATGGTTTCACCTATTTTCATGGCAGAAGCTGAAAAAGTATGTAGGGAAATCTTAAATGAATCAGATATTGCCTGCTATCTAGTCACAACACAAGCAGTCACACATCTCAGTGAATCAGGAAAGCAGAGACAGCTGTTTGAATCTGGATTGGTAACCAAGAACAGCAATTCTGGGACAAAACAGAAGTTGCAAAAAAGAAATCCTCTTTGATTTATGATGATTGACTTGTACTCACCTGCTTCTTCTAAGCCTCAAAAAGACCTTTTAACTTCAACCTTGAACTGAAGTGATGTCCAAGATCAATTCTAGTACCACAATCCTGACAAAACAGAGAGAAATATTTACAGCTATTTAGAATCATTTAACAAAACCAACATAGAATCTGCCCTGATCATTCCCTCTAATTTGTTCTCTTACACAAGTAATAAGATTAAATGTAGTCCACAAAGAAATATAATTGTTCACCAGGTTTCTTCCATGCAGCAGAGTGACAGCTAAGGCATCACTCAAATTTTACTCCTGTGTTTTTATTCTATTTTTATTATTATAGTACTCAAGGGCAAACAAAAGGAAGGCTTCCCTGAAGTAGTTTGTTTCAGGCAGAGAGCTGCACACAATATCACTACCAGTAAGTTCACAGGGTCATCTGAAGGAGGGGACAGAAGCTGGGAGACAGCATGCCAATAAAATTTAAATCTGTATATATGTTAGGAAGGACAAAAGGACAAGCAGAAAGGAAAAAAAAAAAAACAGCTTTGAAGTTGAGACTGGAAGACTGCAATGAAGAGAGAAGGCTGGACAAGGCAGAAGAAATAAAGAACATGAGGTCTGTAGAACATTTAGATTCCATCTATACCGGAGCACATTTCTCTTTCCTGAAATCAGCTGGCAGAGATAATCCTCCACCGGTGTAGGATGCAGGATAATCCTACACCTATGTAGCATAGTCACATATGCTCTGAAACAGAGGGTTTACACAAAAATTGTCTAATGGAGGCGCTCAAATAAATGTCTGGGAATTTTCTGGAACAATGTTAGTTTGCAAAGACATTCACTGTGGCAGAGACACGAAAATATTTCCAGGCATTGTTTAATTTACTAATATAGACACAGACTTAATGCCTGAAACTCTGCTATCTCTGAAGTAGATCCTACCAGCCTCTCGATGGTGCCTCTTGGCAATTCTCTCTTGCTGACAAGGTCAGACAGAAGCAGACTGAGAGTAAAATAAATGTAGAATTTTTTAAAGAAAAGACTGCTTTCCCACAGTTTAAGAAAAAAAATCTGTGTTCCAACTGGCATTATTAATACACACTTTGTTACAAGATGTTTGGACATTTAAAAGAGCTGCAGTTCTAACTTCTTCCTTTGTTTGTAGAGTGTAACAAAACCTGCTGGGAAGGTCGAAGTTCCTAGGAAACTGAAAGCTACCTGGCAGCCTCTGTAGTAGAGCAAGTGAAGAAGGGAGAGCAAAGAATGACAGGCTGGAGAAATAAACACTACATGAAACCCCTGCACAGTAGGACAGCACTGGGAAATGAGAAGGATATCTTATGAGCTTAATACAAAGTAAAAAAGAGAAGAAAATGTTAAAAAACAGGTAAGGAACCTAAGGCAAATACGAGGAGGTGAAGGTGGGTGGCAATTCTTAAAAGTTTTTGGAAAGTAAAATATGTGTCAATGTAACTTTGCTTGATGGTCATGTGGTCACCCTGGATCCACAATGTAAATGTCCAACCAACTGAGTGAAAAGCATTCATCTCACTGACCTATTTCCCATTAAAAAGTTGCAGTTTTGCCTCTAAATAGCTATGCCTCTGTCTTTGAAGTTTCTTGTGCACCTGAATTCTAGATCTGAATACTAAATACTACAGTTATTTCTTCAACACTACATCTTGTTGACAGATAATATGTAAGCCTCAAATGCAAATATAAAATATTTCCTATTTTTCTATACTCCATTACACCAAGATATTTTCAAATCATCAGTGTTCTTAGCTTGGAGTATATCAAACATCACATAGTGCTTTATCTCAGAAATAAAGCCAGGACAAACAGTTATTATACATAAAATCTTGTACCAAACCATGACCCATTTTGTTGAGATACAGCCTTTTCAGAAGAAATTTTTCATTATAGTATTTTCTGGTAATTATCTTAATATGAAAAAAAACACAATCACTAATCTCAATTATTATAATTTTATTTGGTCTACTTCTGGATTTCTATACTTCTTCAGAAATCAATAAGAAATATTTAAAGTGGTGAGGATGGCACAAAGTAGGTGTGACAGGACACAGACAGATAGCAGGTCTTACCTACCAATTCTCTTTTTAACTATGCCAATTTTCATCTTTAGGATCTTATTTACTGACTTCCGTTTAATTTATGCCACTTTTCAGTGTGGTTTACCTGACAAAGGCAGAAGACTCCTAAAAAATAACATTACTTCTGTTATAGACTTTGATTTGTTTTGATTTTTGTCAGCATCTTAAAACCTGGATCTGAATCATTTCAGTTATTTCAGGGTAGATTCCATCCCTTGGGCCCCAGCAGGTAGAGCTTTAATTGTTTACCTATCCCCTACTGACAGTGCTTACAGAGATCTGTTCCCATTCTTCACCTAACAATTCCATCTAAACCTTAAAAATTTACAAATTTACAGACCTTGTTAATCAAAGCTTTAAAAACATCCTGACAGAATGTTAATTGTCACAGTTATGTCAGAAATCTCTAGAATATTTAATTAAAAATTAAAGTCAAATTCATTCCTGGATGAAGACTTAGAAACTTGACTGAAATAAACACAATGCCCATGTGCTGCAAGCTATTTCTATAACTCATTCATTTACTTGCTGCCATCACCTCTTAGCTTATTCCACATTATTTAGATCACAATCTTTAGGATAATTTTACCTGTTATATGTTTGTACACTGCCTCTAAGGTAATATTTTGATTTGAGACTACGTGTTTTTATTCTTTATCCTGCCTTATTGGTGGTCTTTGGTATTTTTTAATATGTAAATACTCCACCAAAGTGCACTACAGCACTTAAGCAGTTCTCCTATTTGATAGATCAAGTTGCCATGATGTGTCACTATTTCAGGTAAGACCTGCTTCTTCAGATTTCTTCTATAGTAAAAATGGTTGAAAGTGCATTACTGCTTGAAGTGGGTATCTGTATAAAATATTCTAATGAAACACTACGTGTGGGATCTCAGCACATCACTGTGGATGTGCAGAGACACCAGGGGAGCCCCTGGGGGGCTCGGAAACCCTGGAATGATGCCAAAAGGGTTTGGTGGTTGGATTTCGATCCATCAAAAGGAGAAGAACCTGTGAAGGAGGAAATGGGAGCTTCTTGGGTGTGAATGGTACATTTATGGAGGGAAATATAAATTTTGGAAAAATAAGTACAGGGGGGTCATGAAGGCAAGATGGAGGATTCAGGGCGTGGTCCTGTGTTCTTCTTTCTTCTTCATGTCTTCCATTTTGTATGGTGATGTTGGCACTTGGGGATTGGTTCATGGTGAAGGTAGACTTGTCTATAAGGGTGAATAGTATTGGGAAATAAAGGTAAATATGGCACACGTAATTTTTACTATAAAAGACACAACCACCCTGTGGGCGGGGGAGAGTGCACTTGACTGTCCTGCTGAGCGGACCTCGGCTGGGCACAGAGAAAACTTTGTAGATAAGAGATAATAAACAAGACTGAAGACCGAGAATCTGAGAGTCCAGACTCATCCTTTGCGATCGCGGCCGCCCAGAACCACCTTTCCCCGTGTCGGGGCAGAGACACATAACAGCGGACCCCGACAACTACGCACCAAAGCATGCAAGAAAATTTTAGAACCTGGTCAAGGGCTATCTATAGTTACTATTAGGTACGCTTGTTTTCATTCAGATCGATAGAGCCGAAATCACCACTGGTTTCACTAAAGCAAAAATGACTTGCTAAAGAGACTGTCTAGTATTTTAAAGACATAAACATTCACTGGTATCTGTAGCTTCCAAATCTCTATCATATAGGACTCACACAATAAAAAAAAACCTCTTAATTCATAGTTGGACTTCTGAGCAAGTGTTAAATTGCACTGTATCAATGGGTCCTGAACTTTATTTGAAAATACATCACTTACATACAATCTACAAGGTATATCTTCTAAAAGTATGAAAAAGTGTAAATACCTAGCAGTCAGACTATGTATTTTAATTATATTTAAACTACTTGAACACATTAATTTAAACTACACAAAATATGATTTTTGAAGAATATTATATAAACTGCAGAACTGCAAATAGTAAAGAGACACCTCCTTTCTTCCTGATTCCAGGAATTCACATTTCTGTGATAGAAAGATACTCAGAAGCTCATAACCAGATCAGCACTACTGAATGTCATTATAATTAACAAGAACATGCAAAATGAATTAGTAGTTATGTTTATAATCAGTCCAAAGTTAAATGAACCAATGAAAAGACCTTCATACTACCATGATCTTATCAGCTAATTTTCACATACTATTTTACATTACTACTTAGACAAACTAAGGCTGGTTTACATTAGCAGTGGGTCCAAATAAAAGTTCTGTGGAGCTAGGAGAAGCATATATTTTTTCACATGGCACAGAGAAAATAATGAATTCCCATATGATTCTTGAGCTGTCAAGCTTCCCCAACTACTTATTTTCCAAATTTTTCAATGCTGTGTACTTATAAAGGTTCACATTATATTCTATACCACAAAAATTATTCTTGAATTTTTACAATATGTAATTTCCTATGCAAAAACACCCATACTCCATTAATTCATAAAACATGTAACTGTGCAAAGAAGTAAGCCAAGGATAATAATAAAATTTACAAAAAATAATTAAAAATCTAATATTAAATGCCCTGGAAATTGCCTGGTGACAGAAAAACATTCACATGGTTTAAATACATCATCTGCTTCCAGTATGTTCCATCCACTGCGCAACTGATGCACAGGTTGCATAAAACTCCTCTTGGGGAAGAGGGGCTGGGGGGGAGACGTTGTTCCATTTAGGCCTTACTTATCCTAAAGATTAAGAGGACACAGATTACCTGTACCTATCAAAGCACACTGGAGGAAATGGAGACAGTACCAATGAATGGGAAGCCTGGAGTCATGGAAAAATCATCCCTCAGTCTTTTCTTCCAAAATATCCACAGCAATGTTGTCTGAATAGTTGGATATACAGGCTAAACCATCCCTGAGGCAGGTCTAACTTGCTTGACTTGCCCCTACATGATAGATAACCTGTGTTGACACTAATCTTATAAGTATGCACGAT